ATTCACTATCAAATCCATAGAAACTTGGTCTTTATCACCTTTATTATTATTAATCAATCTCTGCTACTATTCTCAAGAACCTATTCATTACTAATTAAACAAATAGTAGCTGAGACTATTTCTATTTAGGCGTTATATTATGCCGCTAGATATGAAATGAAAGCTCTTCTTGAAAATAAGTTTAGATTTCGTTTTCCGATGTGATGAAGGCTTCCAAATTGATTCAGTTTTTGAGTTAATTAGTGTAACGATAGGCCTCTTTAGGGCCTTAGTAATATTAATGTTTCCTCATAACGATAAAGTTATACCTAAGTAGTCATATATAAGGATATAAATTTATTTTAGGGAAACTTGAGCATCCTTTTTGGTGCATGTAAGAGACTGTAAAATGAATAAGTAGAACATGAATTCACCTCAGAGATGTGGTAGAAAATAGGGCGTAAAGCCTTCCAAAGTTAAAGTGGATGGACATCTTTTAAGTTTACTGTTAATAATAATGGAATACTGACGCAAGATTTTACAATTCTTGTGCATAAAATCTAAACTATCGTGGCTATTGGTTATATTAAGAGCAAAATTATTTTGAAATGACTTAATGAATGCATCATTGGTATATGTCAGTGTATTGTGAATATTTACCAACTGTCACTTTGGGGGTGTTAAGTCTAAATTAACCCTTAGTTTTAAGACTTCTTAAACGAACTATAAACAGCACTTATTCGTACTTTGACAATATTTTTTATAAACATACCATAGGACTTGCAATCTGACTCCCATTTTAGTGAGTAATTAAATAGGAAATGTTTAGGCGCGTTTAATGGCGATTTATTTGTTAATACTATTCAGAATTAGTAGCTTTCATATTAAATCATATGACAGACAAGATAGCACGTTTTCATCAGAAACTGAGGAGAGTAGCTCGAAAAGTGTGTAAACTCAGAGTATAATACATCAAGCGTTTACTTTTGGTGACTCTCTTCACTTTCTCACGAAGTAAACATCAATTCGAGATTGATAAATCAGGTTGATTGCAAACTATTCATCTCATCATTGTTATCGTTTATTATCAGAACCATTTACATTATATTTTTAGTTGATATTATATTCATGTAGAATATAATAGTTATGGCGTTTCCAGATTATTTCTTAGACATCGTTTTAAATACATATTCAAATAAATTACCATAACGCCACTATTTTTAGGACTAATTTTGTTTTAATTGGGTAATTTATTCATTTCATCCGATCCGCTTCCTCAGACATCTTGGGAGCGTCGTCGACGCCAGGCTCCAGTTAAAGATCCTCTGGCTGTTGAACTTGGCATTTCTCCCAACGACTGTCGATGTCCCTTGATTCACGCCAAAGAGTTTATCAACGAGACACTCAACGAAGGTATTAAGGTGAGGCTTGTTGCCCAAAATTCCATGGTCATCAAGCATAATAATTATTTATGCTCATCTCCAGTTCATGGTCAGTATAATCTAGTATAAAATTCGTTTGGCCTTGTTTTTGCAACTTGGTCATGCCAAAGAAACCTAGGTGGATTCACTTTGTTTGGAGTTCTGTCATAGCTATAATGATAAATTCAAGTATTAGATCTTGGATCTAGTACATTCTCAGAACTTTCGCCGGCATCCGTAGTGAGCCTTGCCATTCTGAGAACAAAACGACAGCTACTAAAATTTTTCGTTATTGAGGAGGTTTTCGAGACTAACTGTAAATCAGATATTTAAATTGTGTTCACCTTATTTCGTTTAAGGTGATGAAGGATTGGCAATTTAATTTTTCCACAATGATAAGAGTAGACTTGATGTCTCCATTAAAGTTCACATAGTCTTGCTTTCCCAGAAGGTGTCCTCATCTAGGGTGGACTGCAGCTTCGGCCTCGCCTAGGCCTTACCAGGACCCCCAGCGGAAGTCAAACCATGAGAGCTCAGCGTGTAATCTGGACACGTTAATCACTACGACACATTGTCACGAGTGCCAAATTTGAATTTCAATGAAGGTCAGGAATTTTTCATATCCATATTTACTGGTAATCTCGAAAACCTACGGATTAATGAAAAAACTAGCCGTCGATTGCTATAGCAAATAAAAGTTTCCTTTATCGACATTCTCAACACAGAATGAGAAATATGGAAAGTGCCGGATCTTCCTTGGAATTTGCATCTGACCTGTGATCCAAGGACACTTGTGGCAATGTGGCATAGTGGTTAACGTATCGAGATTACATGCTGCATGGCCATGGCGAGGTCAAAATTGCACTTCACTGTGGATGAGAACATCTTTTGGGAAAGCAAGACTATGTGAAATTCAATGGAGACGTCAGGTCTACTCATATCATTTTGGGAAAATTCAACTACCAGTCCTTCATCACCTTAAACTAAATAGGGTGAACACAATTACTATACTTCTACAAGTAAGTAACAAGCAAAATATACTCCTTAACCAACTTTCTGCTTAGCAATTCTGGTATTTTTCCTGCCCCTCCTTTCACCTATTTCCACCTACTCTAGAAGTGTGTCTTTTTAACGGATTTAGTGTGGCTTATTCACACTACTCTGGCCCCCTTATTTCCTCCATTGTGCTGGAAATTATGATCCAACTTGGCCCTTTCAGTGTTCACTCTAATACATCCATGTACTATCAGAGTCTTCCTACTGCACTGCGAAATCTGTATTTTAGCTCCCCAGTTAAGGAGTATAACTGCCTGAATATCTGTGCCATTCAAGGCGTTATTTTCCACGCTTTTTATTGCATTTTACTGTAGCCTTACTGAACATGCCCCCAAAACATGGAATCTCAGACTAAATGTAAGACCAACTTGATATTATAGTTTCCCTTATTTCAGTTTGGCCCGTGCACTAAGTAAATCGTATGGTCAAGCCATTACCTCATTGACCATTTCTATGATTGAACTTGTATGGGATGAGTCAGCCGAGACCAAACTAGGGGCAACACCATCTTCGTTTTCATTACTTAACTTGCAACATGGTCCTTGTTCATCTTTTAATTGATTTGCCAACTACTTTTTATTTGTCTCAATTATGACTAACTTTTCTCAGTTTATTCAAAGATATGGGGACCAAGATTGTGTGGCCTTTAGCATAGTCGCGATCTTTTTTCGTTGTATAGAAGCTATTTGACCTTGCTTTCTCAACTTGATCATATTAGCAGGAAGACCTAGAGGGACGCATTTTTTCTGGAGTCCATAGTATGCATGATAAATTCCAGTGGGACCATGAACTTGATTCATTTTCAGACGTTTCGCCGGCATCTTCAATGAGCCTTGCCACTGAGCACCGTACCTCAACTCGTCACAGAAACAAGTGAAGTATACCTTTGACCAATTGTCTGCTAAAGTGTTATCTCTGCCTCTTTCCGGGTGTATTCATATATTCAGAGTGTAATCTCGTCAATAACCACTGCATCCCATTGCCACGAGGGCCCTTTGGTCACATGGCAGATGTGAATTTCAATGAATACTAGACATTTTCTGTATTAGGATTGTTGATATAGCAAGCATATACTTGATATAGTAAGTAATCGGTCAATCAGAAAGATAAGTAACGGATCCACGGGACAATGAAGGGATCCGGATTGGAGGCCCGAGTCGGATAAGCCGATAGAAAGAGAGGAGTCGGGCTAAATAGTAAGTGCGACGTTTCGCCGGCATCGATGGGGCCACACATCTTGTCGAGTGGAATGTAAACAAGTGAGAAGTTCTGATAGAGCGGCAGTGGGATAAGAGGGTAAAGAGTAAATAGATAGGCCAGGAGAGAAAGAGGAGTTTGTCGATGGATTGACTTCACTTGTCTCTGACGAGTTCGTAGCTTGGTGCGGCAAATGGCAAAACTCACTGATGATTCTGAGTACGATACCGGCGAAACGTTTGAGAATGCACCAGTGGTTTACGTGTCGACAATACATGCTGTACTGTCATTGTTCGACTCCTGTTGGAAGTCTTAATAAGACCCAGGCGAGGTCGAAACTGCAGTCCATCCCGGATAAAAACATTTTTTGTGAAGGTAAGGCTGTGTTAAATTCAATCGAAATGTCAGATCTACCCATAAAATTGTGGGAAAATTTAACTGTCACTCCTTCCCCTTAAACGGAATATGATGAACATGACTCATAGCTTATCTATGCGTAGTTGAGCTCTTCTCTTTTGAGCGGATTTCATGAGACATTCGCACTCCCCGTTGGTTCCTTCATCCCCTGTCTGTTGGGAATGATGATACAAGACTACCTTTAAGTCTGAAATCCTCTTTCTTCAGGTTTATCTGAGCCCCCCTCTTGCTGCGTAGAATCCTTCTCTTACTCCCTATCTCAGTGATTTCACTCGATCGCTGTCACTATATCCGTGCTACTCGAGGCTTTATGTTCAACCTGCCTCAAGCCTTTGATAACACGTATACATACTGGATTCTCAAAATGCCATATTAATCTAACTTAACACTGCAGATTCCTTTATCACTGTGCTGCCTGTGCACCGAGTAACTCTCGTTGTCAAGCCGTTACTTCACGGACCACGTCTATGATCAAACTCGACTACTAAGAGCCAACTATATATGTTCTACACCGCACCTCTCGCTTGTCTATCCATGATGCCAAGTGTATGACAAAGAGGAGTGATAGCGTAACCATTTCGGCGCGAAATTTGGTAAGGGATTGACTTTTCTTGTCTCTGACCAGTTGTAGCTTGGTGCTGAGAATGACAAGATTAATAGATGATGCCGATTACGTTGCCAGTGAAACTTCTGAGAATGTACTAATTCCACGGTCTGATTCTGGGAATTATGATAATTTCTATGGCAGAGGACTTCGGACAAGGTGCGTTCTATTAAGTCGACTTGGCAACAATACCAACTTGCAACAACTCACTTCTATAAATCTAAAGGAGACTGCGACCATACCGGGGGCCACACCATCTTGGTCTTCATATCTTCGATTACTTTGATTAGGCTCATTGTCGGCGTCTTACTGGTCTTTGATTGTTCCTCTGTGGTGTTCTTGCGATTTCTTTTACTCAACTTGAAAATATTTTATTGTTATGATCGTCTTCTTACCTCGATCTTGCTGTTCCCTGATCTCTTCTGAGTTTGCTTATAGAATATGCAAAGTTTGTACCAATTATGCCTTCTTCAAGTCTCTTCATTAGAATTTTTCAGTTAGTATATTAATGTCCTCTCGTATCTTATGTTTTCTTGCATTTTCAGCATATGCATCTAGCCTTTGTCGATTTCCAGTCAATTTCGTGTCCCGTCCATGCAATCTATTCATCAATTTCAGATCTTTTCGTATCCATGTTTTTGCAGAGTCTTTGATGTTCCTTGATTTGCTAGGTTTTACCTCTTGCTTCACCAATATACTTCTGTTCACAGTTGCCGCACTTGATGCAATCAATCCAGTTTGTCAACCTTCTCGTATTGTGTCCTCTGGCTGGTGAAGTGTGTTTTCTTTTCCTTTATCATCACCTCGATATTCCATTTTCTTATTAGCAGCCGATATTTTTGACTCACCTCACAGGAGGGCAGGCATATCTACATTTGGTGTTCCTCTCGATTCCTGATTTTTCAAAATATCCTAGTTGAAATCTACTCACCACCCCTATATTTATCTCCGTAAATTCTTTTGGTTACACGTTACCAAGGGAAATCCAAGTTGGTATGTTCAAATTTTCATCCCAGAACTTCATGTCCGTTATTCTGGACTTGGTGTGAACTTTAGGCTTGCAAAAATGAATATCAACTCTGACAATATTCGTCACATGATGAGCTAAAGCTCAGCCCGTCTTTGCCTGGAACGTTGCGGGATCTCTCGTGAACTGCATCAATCTGAACGTCGTATTAATGCTAAACGGCTGCAGTACAACGCGAATCA